CGGGAGGCGCTGCGGCAGGAGGAGCCGCGGTGAGGGCGGGGTCCGGGGCGGGCTCGGGGGGCGAGTGTCGCGGTCCACTCTGACCCCTTGTTCGTAGGGCCGTGGAGGAGCTCCTGCGCCGCGGCGCCGACCCCAACTTGGTGCTCGCGGATGGCGCGGCGGCCATGCACCTGGCGGCCGGAGCCCGGCACCGGCGCGGTCTGCATTGTCTCGAGGCTCTGCTGCGCCGTGGCGGGGACCCCAATGCTCGGTGAGGCGGGGCCTGGGCCCGGGGCGGGGTCTTCCGCGCAGGGAAGGGGTCTTCCTAGTCCCAGGGCGAGGCCTGGGAGTCCGGGAGAGGGGGGTCCTACAGTCCAGGGGTGGGGACTCAGTGCCCGAGGGCGGAGCTTGGGGAACCTGGGGAGGTATCCTGAGGGCCTAAGGGCGGGGGCTAGGCTCCCAGACCGACGGTGGGGTATGGGGTTGCGCTGGGGCCAAACTGGGGATCGAAGGTTCGAATCTGGCGATAGAAGCTGTAGGGTCAGGGAGCAGAGGTTTGGGTCCCGCAGGATCTGGGTTCCGAGGGTGGCGTCTCAGGCTGGAGGGTGGAGATGGGGGGGCCGCGGGGGCCGGAGATCGAGTTCCCTCCTCCGCTCCTGCCCCAGCTCGGCCGAGGCGCTGACGCCGCTGCACGTGGCCGCCGCCTGGGGCTGTCGCCGCGGCCTGGAACTGCTGCTGAGCCAGGGAGCGGACCCCGCGCTGCGCGACCAGGTGGGCGGCCCAGCGCCGGCAGTGGCGGGGCAGACCCGGAGGGAGAGGGGGGGAGGGCAGAAGGGTGCGGAGAGGGCCTCGGGCGCCCCCTGCTGACCGCGCCGCCGCAGGACGGACTCCGGCCGCTGGACCTGGCCAAGCAGCAGGGGCACCAGGACTGCGTGCGCGTTCTGCGGGAGCTCGAGACCAGGACCAGGACCCTGGCCCGGACCTGGTCGGAGACCCAGGAGCCCGAGCCCGACGGTGCGTGGGGCCTCGCGGCCTGGGGGTCTTAGCCCCTGACCTAGCTGCGCGTGTCTGCCTCTGCCGTCCTCTCTCTCCCGCGGCTTCCGCCTGCCTTCTGTCCAGGGTCTGCCGTCGGCTGTGCCTACCTCCCACTCTCCCCTCCTTCCCGCGGCTTCAGCCGCCTCTTGCTGGCTGATCCGACTCCCATCTCTGTCTCTGGCGCCCTCCTCCACTCCTCTCTGACGCCCGCTCTCATCCTCTGCTTCAGGCCCAAGCCCCCCGGGGAAAGGGCTGCACGCCAGCCCTGCTGGGCCTCCTGGTGTGACGCTGGACTCCACAGCACTGGGCAGAGGTAACACCAGAGACATCGGCCCTGAGGCCGCGGACACGGGTGGCGGCTTGGAGTCTGCTCCAGGGCGCTGGGACTGCGGCACAGATGCTTCCTTCGTCACCGCGCTCGAGGCCTCTGGAGCCGAGGACCCAGCCCCCAACACCGCCCCTGGGGCTGGGTCACTGCCCCAGACCGGGCAGGCGCTCCTGCCTGGTGTCCGACCCTCGTGGAGAGTACCAAGACCTCTGGGTACTCCACAGCAAGCCGCCCTGGCAGGCAGGGAGGCAGAACTGAGTGCCCGTCTGCAGGCCCTGACTCTGATCTCTCCGGATGCCTCCCCGGCCCCCACATCCCTCCCGGAAGGGCCCGGAGCCGGCAGGGCCCCTTGGGAACCACTGTCTGGACACCCCAGCTTCCACTTCCTGACAGATGACCAGTTGTCCCTCGATAGTGATGTGGCCGCCCTCTGGCTGACAGAGGATGAGGCGAGCTTCACAAGTGCCAGGGACCCTGTGCCCTCTTGCCGGTGCCCACCAGTCCCCGCCATGTCTGACTGGGAGCTGCTGCGAGGGCTCCAAGCACTTGGCAAGAGCCGTGGCCCCATCACTCCCTTCACCTGGCCATACTACCTGCCACGGCTGGAAGAGGCCCAGGCTGCTCCTGGTTAGTCCCTCTGGGCCTCCAGAGTCCCGGGAAGCCCCCGCTCTCTGTCCCTACTTCACTCTTCGTCTCTGGGAACCACCCTTTCCTCTGTCTCCCTTGACTCAGTTTCCCCTCCCAGGCCCAGACTTTTCAGGGCACAGCCCAGAGCTGGCCAAGGCCCTGCAGACAGGCCATATCCCGGATGCCCAGGCAGACGAGGATGAGCTTGCCCAGCAGTTTGAACAGCCGGATCCCACCAGAAGGTGGCGGGAGGGGGTCGTGAAGTCCAGCTTCACGTATTTGCTGCTGGATCCCAGGTACTTGTGGCAGGAATGACCCAGAACTGGGAACTGGAAAATTCTGGGATTGGTTCTTATTTGCCGTGTGTTCTTAGGAAGGGGACTGGCCCTCTCTTGTCATCAGCTTATTTATCTATAAAAGGTGGCTTGATCCGATTCAAGCTGCTGTGTGCCTTTGGGGGCAGCCACTCCTCTCTGCTCTATAACACGGGAGTCACTGGATGTGGCTTCAGTTTGCTCTGTGACCTTAGAGGCTGTCTCTGGGGCAACTCTCATCACTTCCCTCTCTGAGCCACCCTATTCATCCAGAAAAACTCAGGACCTGCCAGCACGAGCCTTCTCACTGACCCCAGCTGAATGCCTTAGGACTTTCGTCCATGCCATCTTCTATGTGGGCAAGGGGACACGGGCCCGGCCGGATGTCCACCTCTGGGAGGCCCTCGGCCAGCGTGGGCACCCAGGAAAACAGGTGTGAGGATAAGGGCCAGGGTCAGGGCAGGGGCAGCCAGGCTGCAGGCAGGTAGAGGAAGGAAGGAATTGAAGGGCAGGCCTCTGATCCTGCCCTGGCCCCCTAGGCCTGCCCTAAGGTGCGTCAGATCTTGGACATTTGGGCCAGTGATCGTGGCGTTGTCTCCCTGCACTGCTTCCAGCATGTGGTGGCTGTGGAGGCTTACACTCGAGAGGCGTGTCTTGTGGATGCTCTAGGTGGGTGTGTGGCTTGTGGGATGGGGGTGGGGTCACACGAGGGACACATGATCTACCGATTCCCTCACCCCTTTCCTCTCAGGGTTGTTCATTTGTTTAATGAGCAATTGAGCACCAACTATGTACCTGCATGTGCACATATTTTGCTCTTTTGGTTTATTCCTGCTTGAGGGCAATACATAGTGGGTTCATTGTCATGTATTTCTGCCAGGGGTTTGCAGAGGCTGCCCCTGTGACCTCACCCCCCCATCTCTTCAGGGATCCAGATGCTGACCAACCAGAAACAAGGACACTGTTACGGAGTGGTGGCTGGCTGGCCACCCGCCCGGCGCCGCCGCTTGGGAGTGCATCTGCTGCACCGTGCTCTCCTTGTCTTCTTGGCTGAGGGTGAACGAGAGCTACGGCCTCAGGACATCCAAGCCCGTGGCTGAGCACTGGTGAATTCACCATCCAGCCTGGGTAGAGATCAGGGTGGCTGAATGTTCCAGCTGCCCTGTGCTGAGAGCAGCCCTCTGTCTCCAGCTCCAGAAGGCTGGTGGGGGGCAGCAAGGCAAATCTCCCCATCAGGCTGAGGGAGGAGTTTGTTACAGATGGAACTGCTGGAGAGCTAATGAGCTCTCCATCATGGGAGGAGAACAAATGGGGACCAGAGGTTCTTTGGAACATTCCAGTCCTTCAGAATATGCTGGTGCTTTGGCAGTTTGGTCCTGTCTGTGAGGACAGAGTCTACTTTTATCTCCTGACACCGGGGACGCACAATGTGGGGTGGGCTGGGGGAATCTGTCCGGGTCAAGAGCCAGGTTTTGCTGCTTCCCACCTGTGGGACTTCAGACCAGCAATTTGTCTCTCTGAGCCTCAGTTTCCTCAGCTGTGCAGTGGGGACAGTGAGAAGTCCTACCTCAGGGGGTCATTGTGGGGAGCTTTGCCCCAAGCCAGAGGTGGCCCACCAGCCCAGGTGCCGACTGTGTGTGGAGACGTGTGGGCAGGGCTGGGGGTCGCAGGTGAGGCACCCACTTCCACAGTAAAATGGGGTCAATCGCCCTGACTTCCGGGTGACGCGCTGCGATTTCAGACTATTCACGTAGGCTGAAATCTTCCGTACATGCCAGGCCGCCATACTGGGGAGGTGCTGGTGGGATCATTTAAGTTTAACAGAAGTTGCTTCTTTAAAGCGGCCACTGGGGGGCGGCCCCGTGGCTTAGCGGTTGGGTGCGCGCACTCCGCTGCTGGCGGCCCGGGTTCGGATCCCGGGCGCGCACCGACGCCCCGCTTCTCCGGCCATGCTGAGGCCGCATCCCACATACAGCAACTAGAAGGATGTGCAGCTGTGACATATAACTATCTACTGGGGCTTTGGGGGGAAAATAAATAAATAAAATTAAAAATAAATAAATAAATAAAGCGGCCACTGGGTTTAGGGACGTGGGGAGATCTGCCGCCTGACTGGGTTCACCACCTCCTGGTCGTGGTGGCTCAGCGAACCAGGTCCTGCAGGGCCAGCTGTAACTTGGCAGTGGTTCTACCTCCCGGCCTCCGCCGCGGAGCCTGGGCTTCTCTGGGGAATGGCCGGTATGGTGAGTGGGGGCCTGGCCTCCGGGGTAGGCCTGGGCTCTAACACTGCAACCGAACTGAGGAAGCCTTTCTCCGAGCTTCGGTTTCCTCGTGTGTCAGACAGGGAGGCCTCCTGGATACTAAGTCTCTTGATAAAGCCATAGTAATTAGAACAGCTTGCCATGGGCCCAGGAATTCACAACAGGTCACTGGGAAAGAATCGAGACTCGACCCCACAGAGATGTGGTCTGCCTAACACAGGGCTTCCCAGGCTTGGCCCTACTGACACTTGAGGATAAGTTTTTCCTTGCGGTGGGGGTGTCCGGTGCATCTTAGGGTGTCGGGGGCAGCGACCTTGGGCTCCACCCACTGGAAGCCAGTAGCATCCTCCCCAGTGGGGGTGATCAAAAATGGCTTCCGAATTTGCCAAGGGACAACAGTACCCCTGGTGAGACCCCTGATCTAAACTAAAGGTGGGCTCACCAACCAGTGGGGAAAGGACGGAAGACGCAGTCGTTTTCCCGCAGTCCACACAAACCACAGGAAGACCGAGGTATGCATACGTTAGAATAAAATGGAGGGCCGGCCCGTGGCTTAGCGGTTAAGTGCGCGCACTCCGCTGCTGGGGACCCTGGTTCGGATCCCGGGCGCGCACCGACGCACTGCTTCTCCGGCCATGCTGAGGCCGTGTCCCACATACAGCAACTAGAAGGATGTGCAGCTATGACATACAACTATCTACTGGGGCTTTGGGGGAAAAAAAAAAAAAAAAAAAAAAAAAAAAAAAAAAAAAAAAGAATAAAATGGAAACGAGCACGGCTGTGGGGCAGAGAAATCCTTCCTCCAGACATAAAAAGAGTGCGGTGGCTTCAAAATAAAAATCATCTTCGTGACAAAAGCGACCCTAAATCAACTTGAAAGATAAGTAGGAATAAGAGGAGTAACTGGCCGGCTGGGAGGGGTTGAAAGGGCTTCCTGAACTGACGCGTGTGGGACCCTCGGCACAGGGCCTCCTACACAGCTGGCTGTTCTGATCGCATGCCGAGTCCACGGATGGCTTCAGCCTCCACACTGGCCTCAGCTGGACGTCCTCCCCTCCAGGGGCCGGGAGCTCACGCCTGAATCTGGGAATACTGCCCAAGCAGCCTCTGCGCTCTGAGGAGGGAGGGGTACTAAGGGAAGCAAGCATAGACGGTGGTGAGGCCCCCCCACCTGCGGTCACCCAGCACAGTTCCGGAGACTCGGATTGTCACTTCTTTTTATTGAGTTACAGGTTGGGATGTGCAGGCTCAGTGGCGCCAGCCCCCCACTCCCCTCCCAACCCTCTTGGGCAACCACAGCTCCCAGCACCGACGAATGGGGGTCGGGGTCTCGGGCAAGGGGGCGGAGCCCCGAGGGTCCCTGCGGGGCTCGTGAGTCCCAGGATCAAGCACAGCTGACACGGAAGACAGAGAGCGGGGTGGGGGGCCTGCGTCGGCCATGGCGTTGGGGGTAGGGGACTTCTGTACAAGGTCATCCTCCGCGGGGATCCCAGCTGCGGCCCGAAACACCGATGGCCACCGCAGGACGGAAGCTGAGAGCCGCCCGTGCGCTGGGCTCCCACAAATGCCCCGCCCTGCCCAGTCGGCCTCGGGGCGTCTCCCGACCCGGCCCCGCCCACCGGAGCTGACGGCCCGCCCAGGTGGCCCACGCTGAGCACCTGGCGCCTGCGCCGGCTCCGGCCTCCTGCTCCTCCGCACACCAAGCGATGCCCGCCGGCCCAGCGGCTACTTCTCCTCCGGGGGCGCGGGCAGGGGCGCGGGCGAGGGCTCGGGCTCCCAGAGCAGGAACTCATGGAGCAGCGTGTTGACTGTCTCCGGGCACTCCAGCATCACCATGTGGCTGCCTTCGTCGATGAGCTTCAGGAAGGCCAGGAGCAGGATCTGCGGAGGATGCAGTCTCAGGGTGGGCGGAGGCAGCATGGTGGCGCCAGGGGCCAGGCTGCCCTGGGACTCCCTGCCATCCACGCAGGGCCTGCAGCGTCAGGAAGTCCCTCCTGCGGTCAACCCGTCATCCCTCCACTTCCACCCAAGGGGAACTGGGGGATGGCTGTGGCCCTGCTGGACTCGGTACGCATTCGTTCTGCATTTATTACGTGTCTACAATATGTGCAGGCAGGATTTTTCACCCCTGGCACTACTGACACTTAGGGCCAGATCATTCTTTGCTGTGGGGCTGTTCTGTTCATTGTACGGTGTTGAGCAGCATCCCTGGCCTCCACCCACTGGATGCCAGCAGCTGCGCCCCCGCCCCCCCCACCCCATCATGACAACCAAAAGAGTCTGTGGACATTTCCAAGCGTCCCCTGGGGGCAGAATCTTCACCAGTTAAGAGCCCAGAGCTATTCCACGTGCTAAGGACCCCAAGCCCCTTTCTTGGGGATCTCTGATCTAAAGACCCCCTGGCCTGCCCCTCCCACAGTTACATAGCACATGACAAATCCAGCCGTGAAGAGCACTTTTTAATGTGCATCAGAGACAGGGCCTAATCCCGACACTTGTCCAGAGAGACCCACTTTCTGGATTCCACATTTCACTCTTTTTTTTTTTTTTTTTTTTGTGAGGAAGATCAGCCCTGAGCTAACATCCGTGCTAATCCTCCTCTTTTTGCTGAGGAAGACCGGCTCTGAGCTAACGTCTATTGCCAATCCTCCTCCTTTTTTTTGTTCCCCAAAGACCCGGTAGATAGTTGTATGTCATAGTTGCACATCCTTCTAGTTGCTGTATGTGGGACGCGGCCTCAGCATGGCTGGAGAAGCGGTGACGTCTGTGTGCGCCTGGGATCCGAACCCGGGCCGCCAGTAGTGGAGCGCGCGCACTTAACCGCGAAGCCACAGGGCCAGCCCCCACCTTTGACTCTTAATCTAAGCTCCCACTTCCCTGGGGCTGGAGCACAAGGCATAGTCCCCGAAGCTGCCCTGTGAGGGGGGGACGGTTGGGGGTGTGATGGCTGGGGTGCCACGCCCCTACCTCTGCCATGCGCTGGTCTTCCTCCACTGGCACAAACTTGTCATGCATGCCATGGACGAGCAGGACAGGCACAGTGAGCTCGGCGTGGTAGACCTCATCACCCTCGGGCCAGTACTGGCCGCTCATCATGGCCCGCAGCACGAAGGATGACACGTTGAAAGCGTTGCCCTCCTTTAGCAGCTGTTTCTCCTTGGCCCCTTGGCGAGCGAAGCCAGCCCTGGTGGTGGCGAGGCAGCACTGGAGCCCTGTGCCAGCTCGGGCCCCACAGCCTCTCCTCCCACCTGACTCAGGGACGCGCCAGGGGCCGCCAGGGCCAGGGTCACTCACTTGAGGAAGCTCCAAGCCAGGCAGGGCGACAGGCAGTGCAGGACACACGTGGGCATGTTGAAGATGGAGCAGAAACTGGGCTCCAGCGCTGTGGGGCCCCCGCCGTTGATCATGATCACCTTGTGCACCAGGTCCGGGTACTCGTGCGCCAGGAACGTGCAGAAGGAGACCCTGCCCGGAGGATGGGGGGGTAGGTGGGGTTGAAGGTGGGGGTGAGCAGGATACAGGCAGTGAGGGGGCTAATGCCTCGCCTCACCCCAGAGGCAGGTCCTTGGGGCCCGTGGGCCCCGGATGGGGGTAAGGGATGGATGGGGCATCTTGAATGCCCTGAAATTGTGAGACTGTGTGTGTATTGAGGGTGCATTTTTTTTTTTTTTTGGAGAAAGGATCCAAATCCCGAACTTTCATCAGATTCTCAACGTCACCATGACCCCCAAAGGGATAAGAATTACTTATTGCCAAGTGTTAGGAAAGCAATCTGATTAAACAAAGCCTTCGGCTGCCCAGAGGTCACTGTTTCTTGTGCATCCCTTCCCTTTAAGGGTCTTCTCTCCCTGGCCTCTGGGCATGGCCCATCTGCCTGCCTCGTGCAAGGTGGAAAGGCACAGCTGGAGGAGCCCCCACAGTCCAGCTCCTCATTCCCTCTAAGGCAGGGTTCATATGGCCTGTGGGCTATCCACTTGTTTTTTTTTTTTTTTT